ACAGACACCCTGCTATCGACAGTAAAGACAGTCCACTACAGAAACTATAAGAGTGTTGCACTGCAATAAAACTTTAAAATAGTTTAATTAGACACGAACAATATGTGTCAATCAAACAATGTATGTGTTCAGCTTTAATTATTTGACATAATACACCAGTGAACGTCTCGGCAAATGGCTTCATCAGGTTTACAACATCAAAACATTTGGTAAGTATCAACTAAATTTACATGATGTAATATATATACATGTGTCCTACCTAAAAAATAAGAAAAGAAAGAATCTGAGTGGGCGCGAAACCCAGACAAAAACAAAGTCAAGAAGAACGGACAGGAAGTGATTTGAGTTCAAATTTAAAAACCAAACGAAAAAATACATGGCAGCTACGTAAAATTGTGGATTGGTTTTTACCATATGGCGTCAACGGAGCAAATCTTGTAACTAATTTATTGTCCATATAAATCCTATCCGGTGTATTACTTGTATGCAGTATGCCAGTAACTGCAAAGTCTAAAATCCTATTATGGTTAGCACTATTGAAATGTTTGGAGACCGGACAAAGGGAATGTTATTTACGTTATAGAGATGTCTCTAAACTGGTCTCCAAGGCGACGACCCTTCTCTCCTACATATAATTTGCCGCACCTTTTTTACAAAGGATGGTGTAAATCACGTTGCGAATTGTGCAGGTAAAGCCATCGTTTATGCTGAAATTTCCAGAGGGAAAGTGATCTTATCAACTTCAATCACGTAGGGACACGTGATGAAACGGCTAAAGTTGCAACTTTTGGCGCCTTTACGTGCTTTAGTACCTGGTGGGTGGCTTCCAACTAGTATTTCCCTATGGCTCTTTTCCATACGGAAAGCGGAAAAAAAAAGTTTTCAGAAAATCTCATTGGTGACAGGGTCTGCCATAAGAATTGAATTGTTTTTAGACCCCAAAAAAACGAGTTTTCAAGTTACGGGGATGAAAAGTTAAAACAAAATTTGACCTATCCCTACTGTTGGAATGAGTAGCTTTAAAATAATCCTGTCTAGACTTATCTTTACCTCGAGTGGCAGCTGCTTTTAAAATTTTATCAGGATAGAACCTACGTCAGAAAAACAATCAACATTTCAGTCGTCCTTCCACAAATCTTTTGGTGAGAAACAGAAAACAAACATGAAAGACGTGAAAATGAATAATTAAGACAAACTCCAGCGCCAATCACAAGCTCATGAAACTGAGGAACACAACAAAAGGACATTTTTAAACATGTCTTTATGTCACAAAGATATAATATATAAAAGGATGAGCTAGAGTGACATAACGCTGTAAGACAGAAACTATTTTGATACGTTCGGATTCTCAAAACAGTTATAAATTAAAAATATATTTAACGTAACAACTAGGGTACTATTTTATGCATTTTATCCCAATGTAAAATTAAGAAAAAAATTATTAATCAAGATATTATGATCTAAGAATTGCATCTTAATCACATTTATCGGGAAAACCCAAACATCTGTTATTCTTAGTGCTTATTTTAGTGCGTTTTTAATATTGCGGAATAAAAAATACAATTAATTTGATCTATTAATTACGCAAATGACGTAAAAGCATGATTGCCTATTTTAGCCACAGCTCAAAGTTTTTTTAAATATATTTTATAACCGTTTGTGACAAAACTTATCCCTTCTTAAAAAAAAATTAATACATATAATAGATTACTTTGCTAAAATTTTCTAAAATTAAATACAAATTCAGCTTTTAATTTTTAACATTTAATAACTTTTTACTTTCATTCTTTCAAAAAACGTACTTTTATAAAATTTATTAAGTGGTGAAAATGTACCCTTTAAATATACTTTTAATACGAAAATGCCGTTAAATCCAATTAGTGCAGCGAAACTACATATCCAAATGGCATTCACTAATGCACTTATCACTCATCCAAATAAGAACCAAGCATGGGAAATGCACAAAAAATTGTTTTTGCCTAAGTAAGGGTGTTAAAATACCGTGGATGATTTTATTAATTTCCTTAATACTTAGTTGGGGGGGGGGGAGATGAGAGAAGTAATATGATAGTTTCATTTGCCCAAGGCAGCATACGATGTATCTCAGAATAAATTTGACAAATAATTCACCTCATTAGGTACAAATATATGGGAGTTTGGAAATAGGGTGTGTACAATTTTACGTGGATGACAATTTTTTTAATCCAATGATATTACAGTTGTGAAAAAGAGATGCTATATTCTCATTTGACCAATTAAGAAAATCAATGGCGTTAACAAAACGAAAGAACATTTACACAATTTACCAATGAATATCACAACCAAGTCATTTTACACCGGGAAATATAATGTTCAAAATAGAAATGGGTAAGATTTTCCTAGATGATTGATTAGATAGATAGATAGATAGATATATAGATAGATAGATAGATAGATAGATAGATAGATAGATAGATAGATAGATAGATAGATAGATAGATAGATAGATAGATAGATAGATGATAGATAGATAGATAGATAGATAGATAGATAGATAGATAGATAGATAGATAGATAGATAGATAGATAGATAGATAGATAGATAGATAGATAGATAGATAGATAGATAGATAGATAGATAGATAGATAGATAGATAGATAGATAGATAGATAGATAGATAGATAGATAGATAGATAGATAGATAGATGTCAAAAATTAAATCAATGATTATAGTAAATGTTTAACTGTTACATGTTTAAATCAATTATTATAGTCAATGTTTAACTGTTATATATTAAGTCAATGATTATCGCCAATGTTTAACTGTCACACACTAAATCAATGATTATAGCCCACGTTTAACTGTTTTACAATAAAATCAATGATTATAGCCAATATTTAACTGCCGCACATTAAATCAATAATTATTGCTAATATTAACTATCTTACATTGAATCAATGATTATAGCCATCTTTTGACTGTCAAACATTAAATCAATTATTATAGCCGATTGTTTTCTGTCACACATTAAATCAATGATTATAGACAACTTTTAACTGTCACACATTGAATCAATGATTATAGCCAATGCGTAACTGTCACACATTTAATCAATGATTATCGTCAATGTTTAACGGTTACATTGACCGCTGTCACATGATGATTTGTAGGGATATGTTTCTTGAGGAACCTCAACATTTCCTGACAACAGCCAGTTTCCTAAATAGGATTGTGTAACCCGTCACATTACACCACAGATGATTTAGTTTGGACTTAGTCGAGGTGTTCATTTAAAGATTTAACTTCGGTACTTTTCAATAACTACCTTATTACCTGATTGTCCTTATTACGTTTGAATATCTTTATCTAATGAAACTACTTTCTGATCACCAATAGTTCATTCACATATCAGAGTCATTACAATTTTAGATAACTGGGCTGAAATAGAATTTCAAATAAATTTGATTTAAACTTGCTTTACCTGGTGTAATTGAGTTTGAAATCAATACCACTTTTTTGCCCTTGTGATGCGCCCATCAAAGTGTCGTGATTATCCCCAACTTGTCGTTTTAATTTATTTGCTATTGCATATAATTTGTCACTGATGGTGAGTTGTTTCACTGAACAAAATCTTGCATGTTTTGTGACGTGTTGTTTAGTAAGACATGACTGCAATTAACGAGACCACGGAGTGATAAGCCGGATCATTTGTCTCAGGCACAAAATTGTCGAATCAATAATATACTATTGTAAAGGTAAGAGACGGATAAAAGGTGAAAAGGTTGTCGTATAGCCATGTAAGATGATGGGAAATGTGCTCAGTGCTAGTGCTTGACACATTGTGAGTGGCACAGTCTACTTGTGACTATGAGTGGCACAGTCTACTTGTGACTATGAGTGGCACAGTCTACTTGTGACTATGAGTGGCACAGTCTACTTGTGACTATGTTTTAACAGTAGAATCAACTCGTCAGACACAAAATACAATCAACTTGTCAGACACAAAGTAGTATCAACTTGTCAGACAAAAAGTAGAATCAACTTGTCAGACACAAAGTAGTATCAACTTGTCAGACAAAAAGTAGAATCAATTTCCCAGACACAAAGTAGTATCAACTTGTCAGACACAAAGTAGTATCAACTTGTCAGACAAAAAGTAAAATCAATTTCCCAGACACAAAGTAGAATCAATTTGTCAGACAAAAAGTAGAATCAACTTGTCAGACAAAAAGTAGAATCAACTTGTCAGACAAAAAGTAGAATCAACTTGTCAGACAAAAAGTAGAATCAACTTGTCAGACAAAAAGTAGAATCAACTTGTCAGACAAAAAGTAGAATCAACTTGTCAGACAAAAAGTAGAATCAACTTGTCAGACAAAAAGTAGAATCAACTTGTCAGACAAAAAGTAGAATCAACTTGTCAGACAAAAAGTAGAATCAACTTGTCAGACAAAAAGTAGAATCAACTTGTCAGACAAAAAGTAGAATCAACTTGTCGGACACAAAGTAGAATCAACTTGTCAGACAAAAAGTAGAATCAACTTGTCAGACAAAAAGTAGAATCAACTTGTCAGACAAAAAGTAGAATCAACTTGTCAGACAAAAAGTAGAATCAACTTTTCAGACAAAAAGTAGAATCAACTTGTCAGACAAAAAGTAGAATCAACTTGTCAGACACAAAGTAGTATCAACTTGTCAGACAAAAAGTAGAATCAACTTGTCAGACAAAAAGTAGAATCAACTTGTCAGACACAAAGTAGAATCAACTTGTCAGACAAAAAGTAGAATCAACTTGTCAGACAAAAAGTAGAATCAACTTGTCAGACACAAAGTAGAATCAACTTGTCGGACACAAAGTAGAATCAACTTGTCGGACACAAATTAGAATCAACTTGTCGGACACAAAGTAGAACCTCATTGCCAATGTCATCAAATAGAAGTAACAACGTTATGAATTCAGTTGCCATTGACAACGAATTGTTGACCCCGGAGATGACGCTTTTAATATCACGTGTTATCATGCTTGGAATCACGCCAGTCATTTCCGTCCTGGGCATCATGGGAAATATGTTCAGCATACTAATCCTAACAAAGCACGGGCTCCAAAAATGTTCAAATATTCTTCTTCTCTCCCTCGCCGGAAATGACGTGCTCTATCTCATTGGTTTTAACAGCATACCAAAACTTCTGTACGAAGTGGCGGCGTGCGAGGAGGGGTTCCATTACAACCATGACGTGTCGCACCTCCTCTTCTACCTGCACCACATTTTTCACAACATCGACTACGCCTGTTCGAGCACCTCCCTGACTCTGCCTATGCTTATAACGTTCGAGCGACTCTTCGCCGTGTTTCTGCCAATGAAATTCCACCGATTCGTCACCCCGTGTCGCACGTGGTTCGCCGTGGCATTGGTCAACATTTCTTGGGCCGCCTATTTTATCCACATGTCCTTTTTAGCCACCTTCACCTACGATTACAATCCACGTCTGAACATGAGCGTAGGGCTAATTACGCGCTCAGCCTACTTCTACGACCACTCTCAAATGGTTGTAATACTGGAAGGAGTGATGACGTACTTGATTGTACAAATCCCGCCTTTCGTAACAATGGCGGGATGTGTCGTCATAGCGATCAAGGTCAAGGTCGCCTCGGTCCAAAGGAAAAGGCTAACACTGCAGAACAAGAAGTGCGCCGCGCTCAGCCGCACCACCAGAACGTTGCTGGCTGTGTGCATGGTGTACACCTTCACCTGTGCTGTTCTCAACCTCCCCAACTACATCCCTGAGTACATGTACAACAGCATGGTCAGCGACGCGCCATCCAACCTCGGCAGGGTCCTGTACCAGGTCATGAGCCTCGCGCTCTGTCTGAACAGCTCCTGTAACTTTGTGGTCTATGTCGTCATGAACAAGAATTTCAGAACTACGCACATTGCGATGTTTGCATGCAAACACCAACCACGCTGTACGAGTGCATGATACCACAGAAATCTTATTTAAAGAGACTTTGCGTTGTTTAATGTTAATGTTTTATTTTTGTGTAAACTATTATATTTTATAAAATACGACAAATAACAATAACAAAAGAATTTGTGTCAATGGAATAAAAATACGAAGTGGTCAGAAGTAAATCATTTCTAAAAGAAAAAACCGTCATGCGATGACTGACATCTCTCTAAAGCCTCAATCAAAAGTAAACCAAATGTCTTATAAACCTGTTAAAACATTATTGGACATCCCCATAAAGCAGCGGTTCGCAACCTGTGGGTCGCGACCCCTTTGGGGGTCGCACGACCCTTTCACAGGGGTCGCCTAAGACCATCTGAAAACACACATACTCCACAGTTATTAAGTATCAACGAAAATAATTTTGTGTTTGGGGGTCGCCACAACATGAGGAACTGTATTAAAGGGTCGCGGCATTAAAAAGGTTGAGAACCACTGCCATAAAGCCTCAATCAAAATTAAACCAAATGTCTTTTCAACCTGTTCAAACATCATTGGACTTCCCAATAAAGCCTCAATCAAAAGTAAGTAAATATATAAGACCATCTTTATTCATTCGCTATTAATATGTGTGTCCTTTCTGATCTACTCAAAATCTCTTTTGTGTATCCTGTGCAACCTCTCGTATTCTCTAGAACCTATTTTTTTTAATGTTCTAAATACCGAGACATTACACCCCCACCTCCATCAGCACAAATTTTCAATGATATCCACTCAATGAATATTGAACTTCATATCAGAATATCATCACAATTTCATTAGAAAGTTATTTTTATCAACAATTTATAATCCATCATCACTGGTTATCATATGCAATCCTAATGATATGTAACCTTAAGCACATGTAATTTTAATCTCTATCTATACTAGTAAAATGAAGAATTGTTTTTAAATTTTATATGAACACTTAATTTAAAAAATCAAAGTATTTAATTGGCACCTGTGATCAAAATTGTGTACAAAAGTTATTCATTAAAAAATATGTTATAATTGCAACAATCAATTGTCAAAATATTACTTCTGTAACATTCCTAAATTGAATAGTAGGTTAACTTTTCCTTCAAATTAACTTTTAAGTCATTTGAAGAGTGAGATTGAAAATTGAGAACATTCTCAGTAGTCTATGAAATACCTTTTCACTTTCATTTACATTATAATGTACATCAGTTTGTCTTATTCAACACTAAACTTTTATTGACATCAATAATGTTCATTGTACAATGATCATTGTTCCCTCAGCATAACAATTATCACAAGTTAATCTCTAAGCATTGTACTACACTTGATATCAACTCCATGCAGGAATACATCTGGGTTCACCTCTGTGCAAGGACAATATCGTGTGATCTCAATAATAATATATCTGTGTCTCATTAATATCTCTATCTCAATAATAATATGTCTCTCAATAATATCTCTATCTCAATAATAACATATCTGTGTCTCATTAATATCTCTATCTCAATAATAACATATCTGTGTCTCATTAATATATCTATCTCAATAATAACATATCTGTGTCTCATTAATATCTCTATCTCAATAATAACATATCTGTGTCTCATTAATATCTCTATCTCAATAATAATATATCTGTGTCTCATTAATATCTCTATCTCAATAATAATATATATGTGTCTCATTAATATTTCTATCTCAATAATAATATATGTGTGTCTCATTAATATCTCTATTTCAATAATGAAACTATGTGTGGGCAGGATTATACCTCTGCGCAATAATAATCATCCCCTTGTTTCATTATAATTGAATGTTTATCTTATTGTGTGGATGCGTGTCTTACTCCTAATCAATGATGCACGGCATTAAACAATGTATCTCTTAGCTCATATTATTGCATGTAGCGTCAAAATGACGTCATTCACTTCTGAGTCAAGTTTCTTGAAATCATGTTGTTATCACTCTCATGAAAGTTGAACAATTCAAAGTAAAATGCAAAGTACATCATTATGTAAACAATTAACGACCAATATTGTCTTAATAAAATTATATTGTAACATCACATCTGGACCAAAAAAACAACAACCCACAATCTGTCATTTGTTTCAAAAAATCTTCATCATCTCTTAGTATGTACTTATTTACATTGTATTTCAATAATACTAATGTAATATCATTGTACTCATCAATTAAATATTAAATTTGACAAAGTAGTTGGCACAAATCTGAAAATGTTTCCAAGCTGATTAGGATAACATCACGTTTGTTCAATGTTCTAATAAATAAAAACATTAGAATGAAAAATTCACACTCTCTTGCTAGCGTGATTTAAGTCTTTGTCCATGTCTTCACAACATTATCGTTACCCTTAATTGACTTGATATCATATTGATAATCTGCTAAGATTAATGGCCATCTGTTAATTTTACTGTTAGCTATTTTCTTTTTATTTAAAGCCATCAATGGCTTGTGGTCAGTCAATTAAGCACATTTGCTTCCTAATGAAAATTTTTTTTAAACTTTGTAAGTGACCAACTTATCGCTAAACAATCCTTTTCAATGGTAGAGTAGTTTATCTCTGATTAATTGAAAGCTCCACTGAGACAGACACAAGAATGGTTTTGGTGTATTGTTAACTTCTTGCATCAAAATGCTCCTATACCTATTCAGGAAGCATCAGTTACTAGGACACATGTTTTGTTGAAATCGGGTGCTATTAAGATTGTTACTTTGGAATATTTAATTTTTATTACGTTTACAGCTTGTCACATTCTTCTTACCAAACTATTTGTTTTTGACTTGTTCTGTTGATTCGTTGTCTCAGTGGCAATAGGATGTCTGAAAATCTACGGATACAGTTGATCTAGAAGTTGCATAATCCAAAAATGCCTTCTACTTATTTTTTATTGCTTGAAATTCTGAGATTTAGATCTAATATTGAGTCCCTATTAGTGTCAGTTGGTTTGATAGGACAAGAACCTATTTTGTATCCCAGAAAATGAATATCTTTTTTTCTGGTGCTATTGTAACTCCACGTTGTCTTAATTTTCAAAGTAATCCTTTTACAGTTTGTACATGAGACTTCAAATCTTGTGAATGGATGCATATGTCATCCACAAAATGTACAACATTTGGTGTTCCTCCCAAGATCAATCTCATAAATCTAGCAAATGCTGCTGTGAATTGGACTAACTCAAATGACGTCACCGTCCATTCAAAGACTTCTTGTTCTGTTGTAAAAGCAGCTTTACATGGTCTTAGATGACTTGCTCTGCTGTAATGGTAGCAATGGTCTAGATGCCTTGCTCTGCTGTAATGGTAGCAATGGTCTAGATGCCTTGCTCTGCTGTAATGGTAGCAATGGTCTAGATGCCTTGCTCTGCTGTAATGGTAGCAATGGTCTAGATGCCTTGCTCTGCTGTGATGGTAGCAATGGTCTAGATGACTTGCTCTGCTGTAATGGTAGCAATGCTCTAGATGACTTGCTCTGGTGTAATGGTAGCAATGGTCTAGATGACTTGCTCTGCTGTAATGGTAGCAATGGTCTAGATGTCTTGCTCTGCTGTAATGGTAGCAATGGTCTAGATGCCTTGCTCTGCTTTGATGGTAGTAATGGTCTAGATGACTTGCTCTGCTGTAATGGTAGCAATGGTCTAGATGCCTTGCTCTGCTGTGAAGGTAGCAATGGTCTAGATGACTTGCTCTGCTGTAATGGTAGCAATGGTCTAGATGACTTGCTCTGCTGTAATGTTAGCAATGGTCTAGATGACTTGCTCTGCTGTAATGGTAGCAATGGTCTAGATGACTTGCTCTGCTGTAATGGTAGCAATGGTCTAGATGACTTGCTCTGCTGTAATGGTAGCAATGATCTAGATGACTTGCTCTGCTGTAATGGTAGCAATGGTCTAGATTCGTTGTTCATGCCACTCAGCCAAAAAAAACCAAGCTGAGTGAACAATTTGGAATTACCTATTTCTTCTACTGTTTCCCCTATTGTCTCTCATGGGTTCTGCATCTGTTTAAGTTATTGTGTTCAGTTCTGTGTAGTCACAACTTGATTTCTTGTTCACTATCACCCTATTTGATGCAATAGAAGACAGTTATCTTTGTACTTTCTTTATGTTGTATAAGATATTCACGTTCTGTTTTTTTTTACTGTATCCCTGCATGCTTATGACAACACGTACTGATTTCGTTTTCGATCTACTTCAATTGTGGTGATTTAAATGTTGTGTTCTAAAGTTGTTGTATGGCCTAATTCAGACCTGTACAACATACACTCGCCAGCACACATTTTGCTGCCTGCGAAGTAGCGAAATATATTTTTGATCAATCATGTTTTTCTTAATAGCTCCCCCCCCCCCTCTTTTTTTTTTAAATGTTGTGTTCTAAAGTTGTTGTATGGCCTAATTCAGACCTGTACAACATACACTCGCCAGCACACATTTTGCTGCCTGCGAAGTAGCGAAATATATTTTTGATCAATCATTTTTTTCTTAATAGCTCCCCCCCCCCCCTCTTTTTTTGGGCCCATTTTCTTTCGGCCCGCACAAGTTTTGTATAAAGTATTACGGCCCGCCTTACACTTTGAGTTGTGCAGGCCTGACCTAATTAATTTGTTATGCCAGGCTTTATTCAGAATGTGTATTCAGAAAGTTGTTTCTCTTATTCACTGGTCGTACTATCTATGCTACTCTCTTGTTGTAGATGCATAGCACCAGCGATGATTTCATTCTTTAACCCTTCATTTGTTGTGGTGATGTCTTCTATGACGGTGGTTAGATTTTCAGGGTAATTGTCATACTTTGTTAATATGTCTATATCTAAGACTTTGAGTTCACCATGTCTGTTACACAGTCTACCCAGTTTAGTTTTTTTTTTTTAATTTACTGTAAATGGTCCCATCCGAAATATTTTCTCTTCTTTTGTTTGGCAAGCAAACATACATCTCATCTTTCATTTTTAAATTTCTTTAGTATCTAAATGTATTATGTATGTTTCTGTGTCTTCTA